AGGACCAGAACCTTCTCCCCACTCCTACTCAGTTCCTTGGCTATATGTAGACTCTGAGTTTTAGGCACACCGGTGGGGAAAAGAAAGATATTCCAAATGAACGGGGGCAGAATCTTCTCCGAAGTAGAAGGATGGATCTGTAATTCAGAAATTACTTTGAGTTAAACAAAAATTAAATTACATTTCCTCCTTATCAAAGCTGTAGGTTTGTACTAGCCATATGCATTTTATATACTTACATTTGAATAATGAAAAAATTGTTAAAAGAGGCTGCCTGTCTCTGGGAGTGGGGCTGTACAGTTGGAACAGGAGAGACTATTGGTTTCATTTTCATCCTTTCTGTACTGCTTAAATTGTTAGATCAACACACTCATATATTGTGTCTGACTAAAACAGTATAAACTGCAAAGACAAAAATGGCAGGTTCAAATAATTTTGTAGTACATGCTAAAAGCCAAGACACAAAACATCTCTTTTGGGCAAACTATTAGTATCTCCAAGCCTCAACTTGCTAATTTATAACATGAAGATATTGAGGTAAGTGATTGATACAATCCTTTCCTTCTTGAAAATTCTCTTAGGGTATGTGAGTTTCCTGATATCAAAATGTATCCCACTAAGTACAGAAAAGAGTCACTTTTTTTTTATGAGGGACCTGGAATAAGTTTACATATTCATTAGAGCCTCCTAATTTAATGTTCTGAAGATAACGATTACAAGGACTATAGTTAAAACAAAACAAAACAAAATGAAAAAAGCACACCAGAATTGTTCCAAGAAATGTGGACTTGGTTATCTATCAATCTCAGTACTGCCAATAAGTTTTTGAATGACCTTTAGAAAGACATTTTAAACACTTTTGGTTAGATTATACCTCTATAGCAGATGCTCCCAGCCAGGCTGAACATGAGAATTGGCTGAAGATCTTTAAAAATATATATATATATATATATATTCTGTACTCTTAACAGATATGCCCCAGAAAGACATGTACACAAACATTCACAAAAGTGCTATTTGTAATTACCCAAAACTAGAAACAATTTGTATGCCAATCGAGAATAGAATGGATAAAGAAGGTGTGCTAATATGATTGGATATTAGAGTAAATGTTGGCAGACGTTTTTCTGCAAAGGGCTAGACGTTTGCCATCCTTACTGTCTGTAATTAAACTCTGCCACTGAGGCAGATGTAATGGGGCATGGAATCCCAACACTCATGAGGTGGGGCAGGAAGCCAGCCGGAACTACACAGATTCTGTCTCAAAACAAAATAAACAGCAGCAACAACAAAAATAAGCAACTCCTCCAAAAAATACAACTCTACCATTGTATCATAAAAGCTGCTGTAGAAAATACTAAAAATTAGCCTGAAGATGTTGCAATAAAACTTTATTATAAAGTGGTGGCTTGACCCCTTCCTACAGGGCAATAAAAATGAATGGTAGCTACATAAAGCAACAAGAGTGAATTCACACTCATACTATTAAGGGAGAGAAGCTAGATTCAAAAGAACATGTTGTGTAATTATGTTTGTGTCCATTTTACAAATGGTAAAAAAGTATGCTTTTGAAAATTAATAAAATTAATTCTTTGTACACTTACAGAATTTGTACATTTTTTCTTAATGCAAGGTTTATTTCAATGAAAAATGTTTTAAAAGAATATTTTAGGGTCTCATTCTGTAGAAAGAGTTAGGTAGTCAGTGGTGTGATGAGGATGTGCCTTTCTGTGGCTCTGAAGAGGTAAGCAACATGGACAAGGTCACAATTTTTGGCAGAGTTGAGACAGAGCCATTCTTACTGTGTTGGGCACAGGGTGAGTGAATCCTACAGAAAGTGAGAATATGGGACCCATCCTTGAGAACTGAAAATTAGCTAAAGGAAGCCAAGGTCACATTCCAGACTTCAGCCTGGAGTGATATTTGCACTGTCACCTGAATATTCTCCTTGACTTCTGCCACCTGGATGGCACCCAATTCAGAGCTTGGCAGATTTTTGGGAGAGCTGGGAAGCTGCCAAAGGGCTGGTGGAACTCAGCAGGGGCACAGAAACCAGCTGTGAGAGTGGATGGTCTGATTCTCTTATTAGAGGGCACTATGATGTAGCAGACCTATCCAGTTTTGGGGTTCTGTCTCATACAACGTTGCATTCTGGTTTTGCAACTTGTTTGCTAATTACTGAAGTTTACTCAACTCTAGTTTTTCTCATTTGTAAAATAGGCATACAGTCTCCCTCCACTCCATCTTCTCCGTCCCTCATATATACAAAGGTTTGTTTTGTTTTCTCTTTTTCATTCTTCATTGAGCCAACATTTATATGCCAAGTTCTGTTAAACATTTTGCAAATGTTGTCTCTCGTAATCCTTGTCAACAAGGAAGGTTCATTTATGATATTCATTTAATACTGAGGAAAATAAGTATCCGAGAATTTAAAGTGAACAAATTATGATCACACATGTAGTAAGAAGTGGAACCAATTCCCACTAAGGAAGACTGGGAAGTTGAGCTCTGAACCACAGCTTGTGAAAATAAAAATACTTGTCAATAATGATTGTATCTGTCCACAGATGAAATTTAATAGAGGTTAATGCTGCACTTTTCTTCAAAGAGCTATGTGTTGGAACTGAGGCTCTGCAGTCAAAAACCGTGGATTGTGGACTGGGAATGTTGCTCAGTACCCAGCATGCATGAGGTCCTGCATCAGATCCTCAGCACTACAAAAAATGACAAAATCCTACCTGGATTCCACTAGCCTGGTAAATCACCTCTACTTCAGCAGCATAGTAAAAGCACTGATTAGTCAACTCTTCTTAAGCATTTTCTCTAGGCTGAATGAATTTGGATTCTCCATAATTCTGAATATTTGCCTCAAACCGAAAATAACTTTAAAATATTTTTTCCTAAAGTTTTATGAAAAAGTTGTATTGTTTTTTATAATCTGGAGTGTTTTTTTGGCTCAAACTTTTAATTGATTCTTTTGGTATTTTAGTTATTTCCTATCTTTTTTTTATTGGCTATGCAGATTAATGGATTTTATTTTGGCAGATTCACACACATATATAAAATTATTTGATAATACTCTCAGCAAGGTGCTGTCTTAAATATATAAAATATAGATGTTATTTACTTGTTAAACCTCTCTCTTCAGGCACACATATATATGTGAACACACACACACACACACACACACACACACACACACACACACTCATACCCACCGCATTCCACCTTGCAGTTCTTATCTGTGGCTTTACTCTGGGCATGCATAACTACATGATCCCAATGATACCCTTGAAAGAGCATTCTCAACTTAAGTGGGAAGGCAGAGGTCTTATTTGATTTATTCAGATCTCTGTATCAATATTATTCTGTTACTCTACGAGTCTACCTGACATGGAAGTGTAAGACACAGAAGTTCTCACCTGGCCTGATATGAATCCCCAACTTCATGCGGAACTGAATCAGCTATTCCCACTTAAAAACAATCCATACACTGACATCTTGCCAACTTAACAGATACTGCTGGATTTTCTACAAATTAAAAAGTGATGAAAGTGATATGGTTATTGGTGATAGTGCTGCTAAAATACAACCCCTTCTTTATATGAGATGCTTTCTTATAAATGAAAACAATGAATCAGATTTGGGAATCATTTGACCAACAAGTCCACTTGGGAGGGACGAATGACAAATCATGAAATAAGCTAGCAACTGGTTTTAGATTGCTTTTTTCCCTACCATGTGCTCACATGTAAGACTTCATTAATATTCCAAGGAGAGCGAGTTTTTTCAAGCTATTTACAAAATTAAAAACAAAGCTTAATTTTAATGACATAACATTTTGACGCAAAGATTAGAAGAATGGTGGAGTAGCATTTAAAATCAGTCGCTAAAATATATGAGACACGTGTTGGAACCACTGCATTTTAAAAACAAACCACGAGAATGCTGTTAATTTTGGAAGGCCCATTTATCCAGTAAGATTGAAAGATTTAGTGTTCCAGTAAGAGGAGTTTGGAATTCCAAAACACAGACAAATTGACATTTTTATTGTTTTGCTTGGTTTGGTTTGATTCCAGGAAGTTAGGAGACACTGGGCCACACAGTATAGATGACGAGCCATGGCGAGGATGCTGCTCAGCTAGAGCCCGGATGCACTCTCAGCCCTGCACACGACTCTCTGCAAAGCCTGCTCTGTTTTGGGCCCATCCGTTTGCTTCTTTGTGCTTAGTTCTATGCATTTTGCACAGGTGAGTAAATTGCAAGTATAGAACAACATACGTACTGAAGAACTTGCTTTTATGTTACCAAGGAGCAAATGAAGAAACTACCACTGTTCTATGAGGAGTTATTTGTTGTAAACAGAAGGTCTTGCTATAGTAGCTTTACAAAGGCCTTCACAGAAAAAAAATTGTCAGGCCACACAAATGTACACATGTACATATGATGGTTCTTTAAGTGATTTCAGACTTTTTAAAAACAATCATTAAAAATCAATTTTTAACAGTGACTATATTTTGAATTTGGATTTTCTTAGCTCTCTCCACTTTGGCTGTGTTGAGAATTAAGACCCCAGAATACTTTTCTCCACCATTTTTGACAGTGATTCATCCTGTTTTTTTTTAATCTGCCCACTGGGAATGTCATGTAAATTTCTCTTGAAAGACTGGAATTGGCTTCAGTTCAACTACCACATTCCCTACAGTGCATCAAATGTATACTACCTATGCTGCAAAAAAAAAAGAAAGAAAAAAAGCAAAAAAAAAAAATGTATTTTTAAATTATCGAATGATGTCAGCTGAAACTTGCAAATTTACTAAACTAATGAGCATAAAATTATGATAAGAATCTTTCTTCTACACATATTTCTGATAAAATTTTAGCAGTATTATTTAAAGCCAAAATAACAAACTATAACTGATTGGTAGTCTGCTTACTATACAGTGTGTCTTTCTGACAAAAACTTTATTTTTTCTTCAGTTTCATTTCTAAGGCAGGTATTGGGTGGCTGATTCAAGAGCGGAATGTCAGCACTCAGGATTTGAAAAGCGAATTGAGGTGGTGACAGGGCCTTGCTCTGTGGAAGCTTTGGGGGAAAGGATCCTTTTATGCCTCTTCAAGCTTTTTATAGCCCCAGGCATGCCTTAGCTTGTGGCAATAAGACTCAAATCGCTGCCTCCTTTGTACATGGACAGCTTCTCCAGGTGTCTGTTTTTCATATAGTGTTCTTTATGTGTGTTTCTCTCTCCTGTTTTTAAAAAAACATATATAAGAGTAGTTATCTTTGGGATTATGGGCACATCTTATTCCTTATGACCACATCTTAACTAATTATATCTGCAAAAGACCCATTCCAAATAAGGCTATTTGGAGATATTAGGGATTAGGACATCAGCAAAGCTTTTTGGGAGGCATTGCTCAAATCATAACACCCATCACACACTATTCTAGGTGCTGGGTTACAACTTGAATGGAACAAAGTTCACGCTCTGCAATTGTAAGAAGGTTGCCACTAAATAAACCAAACCCCAAAGTATCAAGTAGTGATAAATGCTGCATGTATAATTATACAGTTAAACACGCAATTAGATTAGCTGGCCAGAAAGATTGTTCCAGGGTGACCTTCAAATAGGACAAGAAGGTGGCAGCCATGCAAAAATAAAGAAGATTCCAAGCAAAATCTTCCAGGAGAAGAGAGGCTGCCCCCATTCCTTTGATTGCATCAAAAGCTGCCAACATGAAGTTTCTGTCCTTCCCATGAATTTATGCTCTCCTTCATAAATTATCTGTCTAAATTGGGGCTTCTTGTGTGCATTTATGGGGTACAGAATGCATGCATAGAATGTTTTATGATCAAATTAGGGTAATTAGCATTCCCATCATCTCAAACATTTATTGTTGTTTGTATGTTTATGTGTGTGTGTGAGAGAGAAAGAGTGTTGGAAGTCTTTGAACTTTTTTCTACTACTTGTAGAAAATTTTCAGTAAAGCTGTGGACAGATGGGTTAGCAGTCCCAGGAATGGGACTCTTCATGCTGTAAAGCAAAGTATTCATTTTTAGTTTGAAGATGACATATTGTTTTATGAACTATGAGGCAATTTTTATTTTTTGACAGCTATTTTCCAAATATAAACTGAAATATTGCAAGAATTGTAGAAAATAACGAAATTATCAGTGACAGGATAATCTTACTATTTAGATAAGTCTTGTTCATATCTCCTTAGTGACAGTCATAAATGAGGAGCAACCATGAAAGGGATTATGATCATTCACACAACAGCCATCCTCAGATTTACCTTTAAATTACCCCAAAAGTAACCTAGAAGTTGCCATTTTGATCAGATACGCCTATATTTCATAGAAGTAACATTTCCCCAAGAACCTTGCTTCCCCTTTTTAATTCTAAAGACCCCACACTACAGTATATAGTGATCTGAGCCTGAGATCTAAGCAGTTTCGTCTCAATGAAAATTAAAACATTGATGACAAAATGAAAAACTGCCAAGCAGATCAAAGGGCCATGATCTCTTGCACTTCTTTTATGTCAGGTTTGGGTTTGCATTTTTAATGTGCCTAGCAAGATTCACAGTAAAATGTAGGGCACCTTTTTAACCTCTCTATTGTTTGCAGACATAAGCACATTATATTCACCAAGCTATTAACTTTTCCATATGCCTGTCAGTTTTCAAAAAAAGACCAAGAAATTGTTAAAAAAAATATGTGTCAGAATCTAATTCAGAAAGTGAACGTACTCAGCTCCCAGAATAACCTCGGGACTGACCCAGTTGAGAATGCAATGAGAAGCTTTCTAAGAATATGATTGCTTCTCAGCAACTCTCTATGAATTTTCTTATGAAAAAATTTAACAAGGGCTGTGACCTTTCAAGATATTTTAAAATCTAAAGCTGCTCAACTTTTCATTCATTGGTGGAGGATCAGTCTATAATTCCTTACAAATTAATTAAATAAACCAATCTTTCTGTAAGAAAAACATTTCATGATTTCATGAAACTTACAGGAGAGTTACACTTTTTATTGAGTTATATTTCAAATAAATGTGTTAAAAGAAAGACAGAAGATTAAACAGAGTCAATTTTACCACTGCCCTTCATGTCAATCCAGACTACCCTAAACAAACTAGATATGTGTTCGTCCAAGTGTGGAAGGGTAGAGGAAAACCAAACTGCCACTCACCCCAAATCTTATCCACACTTTGGCTTCCCAGAAGCATCAGACGCAGGTGTGGGGCACTGGGTGTGGGGCACTCAGAATCCTGGCCCAGGGGAGAGTACCAGGAAGATGGCAGCTATTAAGCACAAGGCACCAGCACAGCCAGAAATTAGGTCAGTTCTTATGCTATCAAGTTTCTGTTGCTTCTTAAAGGCACACAGTGGTGTTTCTCAGAGGACTGAAAACTGGTTCCCCAGAAAGGTTAACAAATGAGCTATGAATACATTGCTAGTATTTGTGTACCAAATAGTTAACCAAGGCTGGTAGACTCTAAAGTCACATAAATAAGGTGTTAAGAGTGCAATCTCTGTAGTTTCTGAGAATTAAGATCTAATATGCAGCCTACTCCAGGGAGACCATCTGTATATGAACACTCTTTCAGAACAGAAAGGTCAGAACCTAAAAGAGGGAGCCTTTGAGAAAGCTATCACTTTTTTGTGCCTTTAAAAAAACTGTATTTATGTGCATTTATGGGGTACAGAATGCACGTATACAATGTTTTATGATCAAATTAGGGTAATTTGCATTTCCATCTTCTCAAACATTTATCATTGTATGTTTGTGTGTGTGTTAGAGAGAAAGAGAGTGTTGGAAGTCTTTGCACTTTTTTCTACTACTTCTTTATAAAGTATGTAACAAATTGTTACAAACTGTAGACCTGCTACACTATAGAATATTTTGTTTATATCTCCATCAAAACAAGATTCATTTATTTGCTTCTAGAAGTATATTGCAAGGACAGGTGCAAGACTCTGTTGCCTTTTTCCTGTCTCTCAAGGTTCACATGTGAGTGAGCAAAATAAGACAGAGTGTGCTACAGATAGAAAAATCACAGCCTTGAGATAGTTTGCAGCTTCAAGGAACAAAACAAGAGTTAGCACTGGGAAGCAAATGGCAACTTAGTGCCCAGATAAGTGCAAATGCAGGTGAAGGTGTACTGCCTTCACATTAGACTAGCACCATCCTGCCAAAGTGTCTGAGGGAACCTGGCTATCGTGATGTTTTCTGTCTTTCCTTACACCACTCTGACTTGCTCCCAAAGCTACCTGGACATACTGGCCATGGTGAGTTTTCAAGCATCAGTAGGGACTAAGAAGAAGAACGAGAGAAGATGCTTGACAGTTGTGAGTTATTTCAGAAAAGTGAGGAAGAGAGAGTTGATATCATGAGTCAAACATACCTCAAGTTTCAGACGCTTTGCAGATCATGTTTGTGTAGTGAAACACATTTCCTCTTCCTTTGTCATTCACTCCACGGTCGCCTCTGGATTCTCTCAGACCTTGATAATATCTGCAGTTGGATTTTTAAACTATGGTTCTAAATCAGACTGCTCTGGAGAAGGCAGATGGATTTAATCATGATGGTTCCCTAGGCATGAACCAAACAAAGTAGTCATAAATGAGACATATGTGGCTCAAGCAACCTTGCAGTGAAGAGGACTAATTGGGGTGGATGAATCCCAAATTCTTCACATTAGAACTCTGCTTGCTTCAAACTCACCCTAGTTGTTTGCTTCTGCAGTTGGAACCACAGAAGGTCCCACATCTATAGTTCAGAGGAAACATAATAAAAAAAAAAGATCACTTTCATCATAGCCAAAGTAAATCAGTTGCAAGGACTGGGAGTTGGAATAAAAAGAAAAGTGAGAGAGGGATTTTGCTTTACATCAGTATTCTGAAGCTCAAGATCTTTCTCTAGTGTAAGGATCGGAGAGCTATGGTCAAAAGGCCAAACACAGTACAATGCTGAAAACTAAGCCTTTCTTTTTTTCATTTTAAAAAGGAAGAGAAAGAGGAGAAGAAGAAAAAAAGAGGAAGACAAGAAGAATGAGGAGGGAGAGAACTGAGAACTATGTCATCGATTAAATCTAAAGTATGTATCATCTAACCTCTTGAAGAAAAATTTGCTGATCCTTCACAAAACACTATAATCTCCTAGCGCTCTGAAATCACTGCACATAACCATTGATGGGAGTGTGTGTGGAGGCACCAGAACCAGGCTTTTAGGAGGCTTATGCATCTGGTGAGTAGAATGCAATTCAATTTACCTGGGTGGGAGAATAGAAAACACAGTCAAACTCTGGGCCTAGAAGGAAACAGAGATTTATCTTGGCTGTCTTCATAGGTTTCTCTGGATCAAGAATCTCCTCCTCTGAAGATAGAAATGTTTAGATTTCAAGAAATGAAATGAAACTATAAGAATTGACCCATATCTGTAAAAAAATTATAAATCATACATTTATATGAGTATTTAATAACACATATTTCATTTATCAAATAATAATGGCATGCCAACACCTGCCACCATCGTAGATAACAGGACACTAACACTATTTGTGTTGCCCTCTGCCTAAACTGATGATACTGTCCTGTCTTTTACTCCCTCTTTCTAAAAAACAACAATTTGACTTTTATATTAGTTGTTCCTTGTTTTTCATTATAGCAATACTATGTATGTATGCATTCCTAAAAATATACTGTTTAATTTTACCTGCTTTTGAACTTTATGTAGATGGAACCATATATATATATTCCACTAATTTGTTTTTGCTCAATATTATACTTTTGAGATCCATCAAAGCTGATGCTTGTAGCTAGTACCAAACACATGTACACAATATTCTAGTCTATGTAGTCTATCCTACTCTTAATGGCTATTCCTCTCTCTCTTTTTTTTTTTTTTTTGTACCAGGGATTGAATTCATGACCTTGAGCTTGCAAGGCAGGTGCAGCACCACTGAGCTAAATCCCCAACCATCCTCTCTTTTTAAATTGGACAAAATTTATTTTTTCCAAGGAAGTCATTAAAATCAATACTAGAAACAAACAAAGTTACTAACACAGGAAATAAGATGTCAGATAAGGATGTATTATTCTTAGTTCACAGAGCATTTTAAAGTCCAACATCTCTCTTCTTAGAACTCCTCATTCTTGTATGAGTAAAATGGTTGGCTTATCATATCGTGCTCAGTTTGATTTGCTACGACATTCATCTGTACTCTTTTTGGTGATCTGTATTTTAAAATCACCAGTTCCTGGATGGCATTGAAGGGCTTTAGCACTACTTTGGAGACTGCCCCTGTCCTTTTGTCCTTACCCTTCTCATTAAGAACATTCAGTACACTTCCGTAACCAGTCTCAGATTGCATTTCAGAACATTAGGGCAAATACCTTTCTTTATAGAAGAGCTTCCTTCATACTTCAGGCTGCTGACAACACCTGACTTGATGTTTATAAGCCAGTCGTTCTAGACCTACAGTAAATCTGATAGTGACAAATTTTTGTTATTCATCTTCCTTATCAGGCTTTTGTTCTTGAGTCTATTAAAGGATCAATTTCATCTATGGAATCTTTATAAAAATGCATAGAAATCATAAATGAAATTGAGCCATTACCCCTTCAAGTCCTGACCTTGGCTAGAGGACATTTCTCAACTCCTATTGATACAGCCATTCTTCCCTCCCCCAAGAGAGTACACAGAGCATCAGTGTTCAATCCCAAGAGAAAACCACCACTGTGCAAGTAGCATTAGCTAACGTAGCATTCAAAACTACTAACAACCATTTCATCCCTTCCTACAGAAACAGACAAGAAAATATTTCTGAGAGTGGTGGAACATTTTGTTTCTCTGACCTTTCTCTAAGTTCCTTTTCCTCTTTGTTGTATATTTCACAGGCAAGTTTCAATTCTGAATAATTACCATATGTTTGCCTCCCCTAGAGAATGACCTGAGATGCAAAATCTCATTTTTAAGCTTCTCTGCTTAAAGCAATCAGTGCCATAAATTATACATTTGTTACTTGATATGCATTTTCCAATAGGTAGTCAAAAGCCATCCCACATGAATACTCATTTTCACATTAAAGGTGAAAGACTAGAAACACCATCCCCCAACAGCAAGAGACAGATACTTTTCTTTTGAAAATCCTGCTTATGCCTGGTGGGAAGTTTTATTTCTAGCTGCAGAAGCATCATTTTAGATGTGCATAATCAGTTCAGCAAACTGCTTCTTTTAGTGATAAATAAATATCAAATTAAACTTGCAATTAAAGTTTACTAAAAATATAGGTTGTTATAATTGTGTTGGTGATAAGAGTACAGAAGTAGAAATGATTGATGATGATTTCTAATTATGCAGCTGTGATCAGAGCGCACATGTCTTTAGAGCCACCCACTGGTCTTGAGGTAAAGAAAAGACATTGTCCTGGGAAAGACCTTTTTACATAGCATCTAGATGCAAAATATCTCTGTCACCCCTTGGCACTTACCTTCACTAGGACAACTGGATTAATAGAGCTCTGGAGTGACATTTCTTCTTTTCCTTATTTTTGTTCTGTTAACTGATAGATCTGACTTCTTTTTAAAATGCCATTGGGTTTAGAAATTACCAAGTGAGGAGAAGTGCTTCCTATTAGAATTCAGGCTTCTCTCTTCCCTAAATTATGATATTCTGTCTTGGTATGAAAAATAGCTTACTGATGACGTTCATCATATTATTAAGAAATAATATCATTAAATATTTGACTTGTAGATGGAAGACATGGGTTTGGTCATGGTACCTGTAATTTAAAGTAAGAAAACATGCAAAGCAGGTAAGTTAATTTTTAAACTGCATATTTTAGATTAGTATATAAACCACATTTTTCTTCTCTGTTATTCACTTCTACAGAAAATCATTATTTTAGAAAATATAATTTTATGAACAAAGCACCAGAAGTCTATAAACATTATGTAAAACTGTAGTATCTCAAACATTGTTCTCATATTCCAATCATATATTACCTAGTACTACAATAAAAAAAAGCAAATAAATAAATAAATAAATAATAAAGAGGGGGAGAAGGAAATAGAACAGGAGAAAAAGGTGAAGGAAGAAGGGAGAGATAGAGGATAATATTATTACTATTTTGACTGTAAGCAAGAAATTCTGGGTGGGAAAAATGATAAAGTTGTAGGAAAAAAAGAATACGGAAATACTGAAAAGGTTGTCATCTGACAACCTTAGGTGTTGAGGCTACCAAACTAACAAGTTTTACCAATATTTAACCTGAAAACCCTTTAATTAAGAAGATACATGCAACTTTCCTTCATTGAGGTGGCTTGGTGTGATGGAAAAGAATAAAAATGAACAAACCAATAGCTGTTTTAAAAGTTCAATGCTGCTTTTTGGAATCCTCACCACTGAAGTGAAAAGTGACCTTGGCAATATTATATAACATATTGACCCTCCTTTCCTCATATGGGAAATGGTATCCACCAACCCTACCTGTATCATGGAGTCATCTGAGAATCCAGTAAGATCATTTTTGTGTCAAAGTTCCTTGAAGGTTGCAAAGCAACCAAAGTATCACATGACCTATAACCACAAGCAGAACTCATGCTTTCTGTTCCTTGGCCTGTAAAGTAGAAAGTCAAATACAAAAGATAATGAAGAAGGTGGGTTGCATCATTTTTATGGAAAATGCAGCCAATCCTATTATCCACAGCCTGCTTTTTAGATGCTTATGTTATACTTAAACATCACACTTAAAACTCCCCCCCACACACACTGCTATTAACACAGAGCAAATTTCAGAAACGGAGACACAGCCTTTGGAAAAAAAAAAAAAAAAAAAAGAAGTCTGCCTGGTGGCTCCTCTCCGACAAGTCAGCCAAGTGCCTCCTGTCACACCTGGCCAGTTAGCCGTGGCAGACAGACTTGGTGAGAACAAAGGCAGACGCACACCCAGAGCTGCTGACACATCCTTTCTTGCTTTTGACAGCAGCTCAAATGTCTGGGCTCCAGAAAGGAAATAGAAGTTTGGAAAAAGAACAAAAGGTTTAACATGTGGGGCTGAATTTGGAGGACATGAAAAAAATAAAAATAAAAAAGGGACCATTGTTTATTCCCTCCCCGGGCTCAAGTATTTTATCACATTTCTATAAAATTAGTCTTAGCTCCAAAGCTTTGTTTGCAGGAGGGTGTGTCTTGTCCATGTGGAAAACCTCCATGACTTTTCCACACTATTCTGTCCCTCTCTCCTTTGCTCAGTCATTCAGGGTCTTTGTCTGCTGTGATCCCCAAACACTGATCTTGAGGATCAATTTTATTTGTGATTTAAAGTTTTGAAGACCATAGTGGTAGGGAAAAAAAAAATCAGATTCTCTTGGAGTAAAACCAGTTACTTGTCAGTCATCTGTAAGAAGAGCCCATTTAACTCCTCCTTTCTCTAGTCAGTCAACTAATTTTGTTTAAGTGAATATACTGTCAAAGATACTGTATACTTTTTTAATCCTTTAATTCAGCAAATTGACTGATATGAGCAATTTGTCACTAAAGTGGTAAGATTGTTTTTGTACTTGCATCTCTTTCCCTACTCCTGTGTGTGAGGCTGGTGTTGGCAGTTGTTACTCTGTGGTAGGACTTCTAAGCCGGCCTACCACTGTTGGGTGGACAAATGTTTTCAGTGGGAAATCGTGAACTGGTTTGAGATAAGGAATGCTTGATTAGAAAGTCCCTTTCCCCGTCGTTTCATCTGTACTTTCTTTTCCTTTTGTGGTTCTGTAATGTGAATCCTGTCCTAGTCACCAAAAATCTTGTCACAGAGGCATGAGCTTACACGTACACACTCCTCTTCACAGACCACTATTTTACCATTTTTTTAAAGAGACCCTCATAGATTCATGTATTAAGAGACATAATTGGCATTAGCCCTCTCTGAAACGATAGATTTCAGAAACAAAAGAAAAATAGTGGGACCTGCAGAGGAACAGTTCCCCCTCATTGGGATTCTCTATACCACCAGGGCAGTCCGTTCTAAAGTCTAAAGTCACCATGATCATTTGCCCACGTGCACAGCATTTCAGGCTGCCTGGAGAGCAATTTTTGAGGCTCTCTTTTCATTATAATGCAAGAGCATATCCTGCTTTTTGCCTGCAGCACATTTGTTAAAGTAAATTTGAATTCTTTGAAAACTTAACATTTGAAAGAAAAGAAAAAAGACGGAAACCTCAAGCCTAAGCAAATTTTTATCTCTCTGGAAAAGCAATTGATAAATAATACAATCAAATTGAGAATACATTTTCACACTGTTAAGCATTTATTTAGTAAAAAGTAATGTTTCTGGAAACAATTATATTTTGATAATTTCCCCAAGGCCAGACCC